AGGTGACCGAGCATATTCCAAAATGGCATTATGTTCTACGACAGGAAGCGAACTGAGTTGAAAATTTTTCAACTTCAGCAGAAAAGCTCTGCTTGTCACGTATCACTTTTCAGGAAGTAACTAATCAGAAAAGGGGGCAGGTAAAACTAAATCAGTGAGCAAAACACAACACTCTACCATGCCACAGACTTTGTGTTTTATTTCTGAATTATGAAGCTTAATCTCAAATTGCCTCTTACTCCTTATGTAGTGAGTGCCCTATGTAGGTCATAAAATAAGGGCTTCTACACATAAATAGTGCATTATATGTCGAACCGAAAGCCAATAATAGCTTCACCATTAGCTTCACAACTCCCTATCTAACATTTGTATGCAGCAGCCATAGTTTCCTGACCTGCGCAGTGTGCTATGCAGGGAATAGGGAGCCATTTGAGATTTGATGGTTTCTTAAAACATTACATACTACCTTCAGTGCCCTTAATGTAATAAAATGCAAGGTACAATAGCTTTTCGACTGCTTTGTAACATCTTGTCCAGAGCTGAGAGTAACGGTCTGACAGGCCCGGGTCTGAGAGTGCAGTACTGCGGCCCTGAAGTTAGACCCTTCTCGAACGCAAGGCTGAACAACAAGACAGCTTTGCTCGCATTTTCAAAGTAAAAATATTTAGCTCAAAGAAATAAATTAATTCACTGGCATATTTACCATGTTGTACACTGTTGTCACGTAAGTTTGCTAAGAAACCTTAGGACATGAGTGCCCATCATCCCCATAGCTCGGTGAGTTTACCTTAATGTAGAAATGTGACATGTGTCTTTGCTAGCTGTAGTGTTCAAGGCACTTGGTAATGTTAGCTAATGTTTACGTGGGCTGATTAGAAAGAATTAAACCTGGTGGAAGTGCAATAAGTGCTAGTTTTTAGTCTGACCATTTATTCCGATGTGAGACATGAAGTTGAGCATCCTGTCCATAAAGATCCACTCTGCTTCTTCCCTGCTTTGCAAAATATGTCACAGGCGGATTCGTTGTGGTTCAGATGTGGATTTTTTGCCAAAAACGCTCCGCTGTCTGAACACAGCATTAACTTGCTGTTTTCTTACAGAGGATATTATTACATTAGTGTAGGCTCACCTTTAATTTGCAATAGATTATCAAAGGTTCCAGATACTTTGGAACAGTTCTTGTTTAGCTTTATGGACATATTTGATTTTTTATAAGCTTAAACACAGAGAGCTGGACGTGTGTATGAGTGCAGGCCAAACAAGAAAAAAATTGGTAAACAACATAAGCTGTGAGCGCATATTGTGGCCACATCAGGACACATTTTGTGCTCCACCCTCTAACACATATATTACTGTGTTATTCTGTTGCTAAATGTTAAAGCCTCTGCATAGCCTCTGTGGTAACTGGTGTTAAAGAAATGTTCCCAACATGCTTTTAAAAGGCAGAGAATGTTCCATGCAAAACTGGACGTGGCTAGTTCCTCAAACTCTGTAATCAGCTCCTCCCTCAAATGCATATGCATGAGAAAAAGAAGAGCATTTTGTGTTTTCCGTGCACATGGACTATAAACTGCATGTTTAGACCTGCATGCCACTGTTTTTTACATAACACGGGGGCAGAATGTGTCCTATTTGTGGTGCAAAAGGCTTAGTACATTGTGCCCAAAGACAATTCTTTGAACTATTGTGCTGTGCTTGGTTTTGGATTCCTTTTTTTTCTGTTTAATCCTCTCATCATCTCATTTTCATTTCTCCAAGTTTAACTCCCAAAATTAGACAAGCCTGTTATTGATTTCTGCGAGCTGAGGTAAGATCATATTCCTAAATTGCAATCAGGACAGTTTTCTTCGGCTGATTGCATTGCGGAATATGCATAGTTTGTATCCGGCTAAGTGCTGTTGCCATTGTAATGTGCTGTATGCAGATGAGTTCTCATGTTTCCTACACCTTTTTTGTTATTTGTGTCCTTGATGAAAAGATTTGTCCTGGGTTTTTTTTCTGTCTCTAACGAATAAGAAATATCAGTGCATTTTACATACCTAGATTTATGCTAATTGCTAACTTCAGGATCGCATAACTCTTCAAAGCAGACTTGGAGAACATCAGTGCATGTGTCCTTGTGGCAGGTTTTCCACTCGTGTTTTGTTTATCTGATAAATGGTGTTATTTTAATCCTATATTGAGTGTCAAGGGGAAAAAAACCTTGCTAAAACCATCTGCAACCACATGAAATTGAACAGATTATGCCCTTACGAAAATGGAATATGGAATATGGTTGCGGCATATTGCCAACATATTTCAAAACCTAAGTATTTGTAAATAAATGTTAAAATATAAATATTATATACAGTAGTAACAGAAAATAATGTAACCAACCTTGCATTAGCTAACAATAAAATGCCATATAACGTGTATCTAATGTATATAATATAATGTATATTGTGTATATTTTACAATGCGCTAATGTGAACCAGGAGTCAGGATGTCTACAACAAACATATTGATTTTATTTACTATTCAAAACCACCAGTGAACCTACATGTGTCTTCTGAGCTTTTAATCGTAATGTTGATAAGAGTAGAATAACAGTATATCCATATCCATTTTCTTTTGCCTTTTAACGCCCTGCATGTGCCCTGTATTAAAAAAAAATACAATTTAGGCCAAAGCTTTATCTCAAAATTATCATAAAGCAATGTCTCAGACATCAGGCAGCAGTGTGTTCATAACCATTTCATGGAATGACTTTGTTGTGAGGCAGCTTTTGAAGGCATTACTCTGTTCAGACATCTGGTTAGCACCACCATGAACATTTATGACTCAGTAAGTTTCTAGAATGGAGCTTTACACTTATAACCACTCTGAATGGCTTTGCTTACACCTTAACCACTTAATTATGCAGAATATTTGAAAAATCAGTGGCATTCCCCTTTAAGGCTGTGGCTTATCACGCAAACTGCTTAAAGGGTCAGCAACACGTTCTGCGTCAAGCGCAGAGTTTAAAAAGCACCCTGAATGAGTGGAACCATCAACAAGCTCGAGATAAAAGAGAAAATGAAAGTAACTGACGAAGATAGTAGTGATTATAAATGAAGTTCTTTCCCACCAAAACATTCTATTCTACAGGTGTATTCTACTCCAGATAAAAAAAAATACATTTGGGAAACAATAACACAGACTGTGAGCATGTCACGACCGCATCAAGGCACAGTTTGCGTGCTTTAATGTAAAGATGGGCCTCAGTGATGTATTGCATATCAAGAACTGCTGGCATGCACTTTCAACCAGGCCTGCTTATGCTATCAGTGAGCATTTTGCCCAATTATATTTAATCTGATTTAATCCTTTTTAAACATTGATAAATACTCTATTTATGAAGCATGCCTAGCCTACAACTATTAATAATACAGTGATAATATTTAGACTACTAAGCTGAATATTGTTTTGGAGCACTGGGCTTCAGGCAGCATGTGTAATAACCTTCCATAATGTAGCTTTTAGAAGCATTTAACTCAGATGTCTGGTTCGTATCACCACTGCTGTGAACAATTCTGACTATGTATGTTTCTCTAGAACAGAGAAACCTCTCTGAATGTCTTTGTTTACGTCTTGACCCTTTAATTATACAAGCCCACTGACATCACTGAGCTGAAGCAGTTCTGTAAGGAGCAATGGACAAACATTTGTCCAAGTTAATATGCAGGACTGATCAACAGTTAAAGAAATGTTTGGGTGAAGTCTTTGCTGCTCAAGGAAGTCACACCACTTACTGAAAGCAGAGTTTGCCAACAAAGATATTTAATATTGGATCACATTTTTCAATAAATGAATGGAATTTTTTTGTGTTATTTGTTTTATTTGGTTCACTTTGTCTGTTGCTATGACATGTTGACATGAAGATCTAATGACATTGTAAGGTCAGATTTACGAAGAAATTTAGAGAACTCTAAAGGGTTCATAAACTTTCTAGAACTGTAGCCTATCCCCTTTTCTCCCCAGCCAGGTGAAAACTTGATAGCTAGCTAAACTGAGCATTATTTGCCACAAATCCATTTTGTAGCTTGGTATCTTTGCAGTTCCTTTATCATTCTGTATTTACTGTAAATAAGGCTTTTTCTTAAGAAGTGTTTAGCCCACATCATACCTAAATCACTACACACATGCCTCAAACGTTGAATTCTTAACTAATCACAAATAGACGTGCTTACATGTTTTCTGACAGTGTATGATATGCTGTTAGCCTTTTATCAAGAAAAACATAGGCTTGCTGCTACTACTGTTTTAGGCTTGCAGCATACTTGTGTACATTTGGCCCAAATGACCAGGTGTATTAGAACATTGGTTACTAAGCCACTTACCCTTCGCCCCCCAGCCTTCTGATTCAATTAGCTGGAGCTGGTGTGGCTGAGTGTGGTTGTAACTATACTCCCGAGGAAGGTATATCAGCAGGACCAGGGTTGGTGACCACTGGGCTATACTGGCATAGAATCATCTTAAATGTCCACAAAAAAAACAAAAAAAACAATTGTTCAATTGCTGCATGCTTTGCTAAATCAATCCCTTGAGATTCCTATTTTTATCTGTGCTGTAAAATTCTTTTTGATGTCACATTTAGTCATTGTCTGATAACTGGCTGTAGACATGTCTCTTGTTCAGCATTTCTGAAAAGCCCTTCATTCAGCATCTCAACTGTTTCCCAGACAAAAAAAGAGCTTAACAGTGGGAGGGAAAGAGAGGTTGGGAAAGAATCTTGGAGAGATGACAAGGTCACGTAGATGTGTGTGTGTGTGTGTGTGTGTGTGTGTGTGTGTGTGTGTGTGTGTGTATGTGTGTGTGTGTGTGTGTGTGTGCACTGTAGATTGGAGGGGAGGGATGACAAGACAGGTTTTATGATGCTTATTCCCTCTGTATGTATGCATTCTCTCCATTCACATGAATAATGTATTCTTTCTCTTTCTCTGTCTCTTTCCCTGTCTGTCTCTGTCTCTCTCTCTCCCCAGCATCTTTCGGCAACTTTTCTTAGCTCATCCATCCATTTGGCAGCTCTCTTCTCTCCGCCCAACACAATGGATCCCTGATAAGGAGAGGAGGCCCAGCTCCAAACTGACACTGACAGAGGAGAAGATAAAGAGAGTGAGCGAGCAAGCGAAAGAGAGAGAGAGAGACAGAAAGAGACTGAGCTCAGGCTGGTGTTAGAAAAGAAAAAGTGTCATTCTTGGCCAAAGCAGAGACCAGAACATCTGCATGCCGAGCCAAGCTGATGCGCTTTTAAAGGATGCAGGCTGAGAAAGACAATGCTACATTCATACTGTAATATAACTATAAAATTCAACACTAACCACATCTGCACTGAACTGCATTACCAAGTGTTTCATCAAAGGACAGTCCAGCAGTTTGACACTCTACTCTTATTGGACTGTGGATGCTGAGGAACTTCCTATTAAAGCTGCGGCTAGACGGACTGTTGATAAAAGTCAATTAACTTAAATGGGAAAGGATGCAGGAACATGAACAAAGCAATCTTCTTCTAGTGTCTGAGTTCGTCCAGGTTTACTTCAACACCACAAATCTGCGACCGTTGGAAGCGTGAGCCAAAAGAACACAAGAGCTGGGCTTTAGGCTTCTCTTTCAGAAAAAGCAAATTGGAAAATTAAATATTGCAGTTTCAGAAAACACATTCATTGCAAAAAACAAACAAACAAACAAGCAAGCTAGCTAGCTACAATTAGCTGGTCACTGAATCACTATGTTCCATCTACAATCACCATCCATAACTGTGGGTCTGGAGTGACCACTACTTTATGCTCACCTAGATCCAGCCAGCCCCATACAAAGTCCTATTTCTTACAAATGATGTGAGAAAATGGCAAAACTGACCTTGTGTCAGCATAGATGGGTTAAATCTACATCTATCATCTACCTACATGGACAAGAGGATGCTGAAAAATTAATGTTCCTAAAGTCAAAACAAAAACACTGTCATCTTCCTTGCCCTGTCAAAAGACAAAATACCTTGCGTCTGGCGCTTACAAGAATTGATGTGCTGCTGTCAGCAGAAATAGAGCAAATAGAATTAGTATTCTAGAGTAGAGAAGCCAGAGATTTGAATACCTAGAGCTCTCCTGTTCCTGACACATGTGCTTTGTTATTTAAGGTCAATGGATACTTTAACAGAGTCAATGGCACATTGTATTTAAATGGACTCATTGCTGAATGTCAACATGGATAGACAGGCACACTTCATAACCAACTTTCAACAATGTATTTGATTTCTTCTCAGGGTGGGAAAATGAGTTTTTTTATACATCCTAATGATTACATCTGCCGCCCGTTGTAGCCCGTTCCCGAAAGCACTTAAGTTACAACTTATGATTTAGATGCCTTTTTTAGGTCTTGCTATGAGATGTACACAATGTAGCTGTCTAGGAAATTTCTTTGTATACAATAAACACTTTGTCTGTAAGAAGCATAAATAAAGTTTATATGATAGGGATACATGTTTAGAATCTAGGAATGATAATTGTCATTACTTGTAGAAGTAACTCTTAGAGTTGTCTCTGCACTGTTCAAAGCAATAATATGATTGGTCGCTGTGGAATGATGATGGTCATCTAGGTTATGAAATTCCAGTCATGCCCTCATCTCCTTTTTAAACGTGCATCATGCTTGGATGGTAATCTGCACTTTAAAAAGAGCACCTGTTTGTGTTACGCCACTGCTGCTTCCAATATGGTTGACCAATCAAACGCCGAGTGACCTAATGTGTTATGTAATGTAAGAAGGTTGATCAATGGTCAGTTTTTTCTTTGAAATCAAAGTGAATATGACTGAGAGGGGACTGATCCTGGATCAAAATTCTTGCTTCATTAATATGGGCCTTCATGTCTTCCTGTTTCAAAGGCACAACCCTCACCATAATCACTGTGCTTTTATCTTTTATCTCTCATGCTTAAGAATTATTGATGTAGTCTTGGAGACATTAGAATCCACAAACATTGTGATGTCTGTGTAACATTTATTCTGTGTGTATTACAGAAAGATTTCTGCAATGCTGTAGAGTTCTGATGGGATGAAACAAAGATTTAGAGTATTACGGACAGTTTTTTTCAAAGAACCTACATGATAGTAAACCAGACTTTTCATGATTTTTAAATAAAAGTGTTTGATGTAGGATGTGAATATTGTTAAATTACTATTCATTCCTCAGTCCATGTGGTCTACATGGACCATTCTACCATAGAAAAATTAATAAATAATATTTACAAGGATTATGTTATAATCTATTCAAACCCAATGCATTAACTGAGATAGTAATAAGCTAAAATATACAAAATCATAATTTATAGGGTACTTTCTATTGGGAGGTGGCTGTCCCAAACCCTAACCCCTAAATTTCAACTTGTGAAAATAATACTTTTCTTTCCTTTAAAAGTCATTTTTGATGTTTTTTTAAAGTGAAGTTAAAAGATTTAGGTATTATCATGAGTTTGATTTTAAAACAAAAGAAAATTGTATTCAAAAAATGCTATCCCATGTTTTCATGTCATTACCAAAACAAAGCGTTTTAGTTCATAAGTGGAGCCTATTTTTAGCCAGACTGCATCCCTGTCCCTCATGGCCACATGGTGAGCAGATCCCATTGTTTTAAAGGAAATGAGTCCCAGTGTCAGTGTGTAACCCTAAGAACTGTCAGTACTGAAACACTTCTTTTCTGCAGTTAAGTTCTCTGTGTTTTAAAAAATATTATGTACTAGGTCTTTCACTGGCAAACAGTCTTACTGGCACATTGACTCTGGCTTGTGTACATGCCCATTATCAGTAAATTCCTATATAAAAAGTGCATCTGTGAAAGGGGCTTATGTTTTGAAATTTTATAATTGAAAAATCATTGTGTGGAATCAACTCTTGGAATTAACTCCATCACTTGAAATCAGAATCTGAGTTGACTCCAGAATTTCTGGAATCAAACAGCCATACTCACACTAAGAGGCTGTTTATACCTTGTACCAACAGAATACTACTACTACTGCTACTAGTACTACTACTACTACTACTAATAATAATAATAATAATAACAATAATGATAATAATTTCAATTTCTACAGCGCCCAAGGTCACTTTTTTCCCCAAGCAGGGGAAAAACCTTCAGTGAGCAGAAGAATGAAACTGCTGAGAAAAGAGGTAAGTTTTAAGCTGAGCTTTGAAGGAGGAAGGTGAGGGTCAGTCACAAAGAGATTGTGGTAACGTGTTTCATAGCTTGGGGGCTATGACGGTGGAAAATCTGCCTTCAACAGACTAAACTAAATTATGGTACAAATTAATGACCCGCATTAGTGGACCAAAGTGTTCAGGCAGGGCAGTAGGGGTGCAGGAGGCCCTAAATAGGCTTAAGAGGCTGGTACTAGACCATGTAGAGATTTGTACATTAGCACGAGGATTTTAAACTGAATGTGAAGCGGGACAGGTAACCAGTGTAACTGAAATAAAATTGGGGTGATATGAGCTGAGTAACAGAATGTTCAAGCAGCTGAGTTTTGCAAATACTGAAGAAGGCAGATGGTTTTGTTTGGGATACCAATGAGAAGGGAGTTACAGTAGTCTGAACGGGATGATATGAAAGCATAAACCAGAGTTTCAATATCTTTCATGGAGAGCAAGGTGCGAAGATGAGCAGTATTAAGAAGATGGAAAAACGCTGTTTTTACCAAAGCCCTAATATGAAGTTTGAAAGAAAAGATAGGATCAAAAAGTACACCCAAGTTATGGATCACTGTTGAAGGTTTTACAGTCAGATCATCCAAATTAAGCATGAAATCTGTGAAATTTGTGATCACAGACTTAGACAATGAGTAAAATTTCAGTTTTATCAATGTCTAGTTTCAGAAGGTTTCTCTTCATCTGTTGTCTGAGGTCTTTAATACAAAATATTAGGGTAGGGGGTGGTAGGTTAGTGGTAGTTTTGATCAGTCCTACATGTGTTTTTGGTGACTGTATTGTGTTCAAATTTCACTTGACCACATGAAAAGCCATGCGTAAACATATCCAAGGTGCACTGAGATCGGATTAAAATGAGATCACTCAAACCACATTTGGAGGTGGTCAGAGAAAAATCTTGACCACATTCAAAGTGTAAAAGGTGTTTTCTATATTCAAATACAATTACGGAAGTGGAAATGCGTCTGCTGAGCCTGGAGTTATCCTGAAACCGAGTGGCTTCTCACCCACTGGGCTGATGACAGCCTCCAAGCCAAGCTTGTCGATTCGTATCATAATAGGAGGAAACAGAAGTAACAGGTAAACATGGTATGTGTTGATGTGCTTTTAATGTGGGAAAGTAAAATTCAATCTCATCTGGTCACACTGGGGACTCATTTTAGTGAAAAATGTAAAAGGAATCTGGTCAAAGTTTATCCAGATATGATCTGGACATGAAACACGTGTTAATGTAATGAGTAAACCAGCTATAAGCTTTACTCTAATCTTTTCACTTGATTGTGGCATTTTGCTTGATCCCTGACTGGACCTTTTTGCTTGTTGTAGTATTCAATACCCATAGAGATAAACTATATGTACATAAATGTTCACGCCACTTTTATCTGAAAAAGTATTCTCAATCAGAAATGTATTTAGCAGCTCCACAAATACAAGCAGAAAGAGCTTATGTGTTCAGAGACAGTATATATGATTTTGTCAGAAAGATGTTGGAAAATAAAAGTGTTTCTTTAGGACGTATATTTTGATATTTTGTGCTACCAAACTTCAAGGTGTTAATATCAGCCTTGTTGAACATGTTTTATTACACAGCGGTATAAAAACCAGGCAGTCTGTTTAATGACACCCAGATATTTTGACCACCAAAACATACACACATGCGCTGACACACATATTCTCACAGGTGAGCTGTTCCCATCTTCCAAGCTGTCCTCCCTCTGACATCTGAATAGCAGATTCAGTTGGAAGTGTGTGTGTGTGTGTATATAATTCATGAGGCTTCGCTGTGTGGCATGTGTGAGCTGTGAGCTGCTTCTCTGCGCCACGCTGGAGTGTGTTTCTCTTTGTGTTTAAACCCAGGAAACTGTAGTCTCACATACCAGCTCCCTCCCAAATACCCACAGCACTCACAACATACTAACAGCCCTGTTAGCATAAATGCACTCTTCTAATGCCACTCTTCTTTTTCATACCTTGTAGGTAAAAAAAAATATGGTCTTTTCTTGGCTTTCATTATTTCTTTTTTTCTCCATCTCTCAGAACATCTCTTTCTCTCACACTCTGTCTCTTACATTGTCTTTCATTCCCTTTCTTGCTCTTTTACCCTAATTGTTTGTGTTGTCCTGTGCTGTTTTCTCTCATCTTGACCTGATTTCTTTTTAATCGTTGTCAATTTGCTCATTTCGCATTTGCTTAAGTGCCATTTCCAGCACTGCAAAAAGCACTAGTTTTTTTTCTTATTCACCCACCTTTTTTAACTTTATTTTCTCTTTCTTTCACCTTGTTCCGCTTGATTCCTTGACTTTCTTGCTTACTCTTTCACCTGTCTCTCACCCCATTGCCCTTGTTTCCTTGAATCGCTCTCTTCTTTCTTTCTTTTTCTCTTTCACCACCTGTTCCCTTTGTTCTCTTGAAATTCTGGTAAGAGGATCTAGGGGAATGTCTCTTGTCTGGGGTCTGTGTAATGATAACAAGACCAAAGGCTAGCATGTCTAGCACATGGTGCTTATGCGAGGCTTCAAGTGACACTTCCAGTGATGGCAGTCTGGCCAAAGTTCATTGTTATGCAGACACATACTTACCTGAATGCTCATTAGACATACTTTTTTTTAAAAATTGCCCAACAAGTCATTGCCATTGACCACCTACTATCTGAATCTTCAGCATCAGACAATTAAATGTAGTGCTGTAACACAGTTTGGAAGAGTTGAATATATTGCAATCAGCAAGTCAGTGTTGTTACACAAGTCTCTACATTTCTAACACTATATCAGTCAGTCAGTCATGTGAAATTTAATTTTAATTGTTGATTAAAATTTTCAGGCCAGAAACAAAGATAGCCAGGTCCAGAACACATACTTCCGGGTACACGTGCCACTGAGCAGATTACTTTGAAATTATTAGGTGCTAAATCTAATGACTCCTGCTAATAGCACTAATAAGGTCCTATAATACCTTCATACCCCTCAAGTGAAGAGTACTGACTGACTAATTCTGCATGTGACAGCTGGCCAGCACAACTGTGAAGATGCGAAGATTCTGTTGTGTTCTATTCTGTTCATTATGGAATCTATTCTTCAGTCATACAACACTGCAGTGTACCAGGTCACCATTCCTAAGTTCACCACCACATTCTTGCTTCTTAACTATGTACCAAGAAGGTAATTTGACACAGCTGTTTTGGTCATTTCTCTTGTCCTTTGCAGCCTCATGATGGCCTACTTTACTGGCATTGACCCTTCTTTTGTCCTCTTGTTGAGACTAATAGTGATGGAGTGATGCACTTAACCCTTGTTGCTTTTAGGTGGAATCTGTCTAGGTAACTGATACTATAAAAGGTGGCCACTTTTCAGAGTAGACAGAATGAACTGTGGTAAAGTTTTAGGTCTTCAACTTAAATTACCTTATTTTCCTTATGTTGCTCATCTTAAATCTATTTTCTCCATATTAACTTAGAGAGACTTATGAGTGTGAGGCAAAGTCCCAAACCAGCTGTCAGCCTGCTCTTGTGATGCCTATAATTCTTTCCTGCATGGAGTCAATCTTAAGTCTCTATGGCTGCCAACTAAAAACTCCAAAGATCAAGACTGCCATCGCTACAGTCTCTGGGACCATTCAGCCAGCTATCGGCTATATATGTGTTATAACCAAGATGTGTGTTTCCAAGTGCTTCTTCTGAGTCACTGTCAGGATGACACTAGACATGGTAAGGTCTATGTTTTTTATACATAGACTTTCATTTCAGCTTAGCAAATGTAATTGGACCACTGTCTGCACAGTTGTTTCTTTGCCAGCTGTGCATTGTTAATTCATGCATAAGAGAATGAACAAAAGTTCTAGAGTTGATTCTAGATGTGGCATTTGCATCTGAAATCTGTTACTGATTTCTCTCAACATGAGGACCAAAGAAGAGTCAAAAGCCAAAATATTAGCTGGGTCAAAAGAATGGTTTAGTACCT